ATAGATGGGCAATTTTCAGATAATGTGATGGATATAACATAGTTCGTGGTTCTGGGACCATAGTGGGAATGTTGTTAGGAAAATAGCATGTCTGTGAGGTATGCTTAACTGGGGAGATCCAGGAGAATGAACACAGCTCACCCTCAGCGTTGGGCCTATGTAGCCTCATCACAAGGAACACAAAATCTTCATTTGTCTCAACACTGAAAAAAATCGGCTTACTGTTCCAGAAATACAGACAGGTTTTCTGTTTTATGGAAGTAAAAGGCACAGGATGCCACCTTTACTATTGCTGTAAAATCAGAATTAGAAAGACAATGGCTTCCTGAATGTCAGCAGGTCAGTTTTCTATTTCTTTTCTTTTGTTTTTCATTGACATTTACAATTCCTAGATGATTGTTTTCTTCCTCATTGGGAGCCAGTGTGGAGTTTTCACCTCTGTCTGGTCTTAGTCAAAGCCAATGACAGACGATTCCTAGAGGGAGATGACAGATTGGGAGAGAAGGGAGACAACACTGAACTGGAGAGGTGGGGACAGCTCCTGGCGGGGGTGCTTCCTAGTTTCATTTTCTTCAAGTCTGGGCTCCTCTTTCATCATTACAGATTTAATTGTGAAATAATGGAAGCCACTGTGGTGAAGTCACTTTCCTGCCCTTTGCAATACCTTTCCTCGGCACCCTTCTCTGTGGCCACAGTTCTGGATTCAACAGAACGAGTCTCCTTGCTCGGCCTTGGGTCCTTAAGACTTGGTAACTGTTTATCACAGACAAGCCTGTGGACCACCAAGAAATGTTATCAAATATTCAGCAAGTCTGCCTGTCAATGGGGGTTCTGGCTGATGACCTTGCTGGTCACTGACTTTCTCCTCCAAATTATTTCCAGGTGTGGATTTGGGCCTCTGCATTTTCCAGGCGGCACAGAAAAAAGGGCAACCTGTAAATCTATTAATGCCACATTTGTTAGCACATGTCCTTCTTTTTGCTTCCAAGCAATAACATTATTGAAAAAGATTTGAAGTATTTTACTGTAATCGAGAGAATATGGGTGTCTTGGTTGAAAAGACTTGGTTTCGATCTCTGCTTTTGGCACTTGCTAGATGAGAGACTGTGAATCGCTTTCCCCATCTTTCAGTGCTCAGTTTTTGGTCTTCAGGGAAGAATATTTCAATTCGGAGCCTACATTTGTGGAACATTAATAGGGATGGAATACGAACCATGGTTAGAACACAACAAAGCTTTAGTTAAAGGTAGCTCAAGTTTCTTTTATTTCATCTTGGCATAAGGAGCAGCTCTAAGCATAAAGAAAGGATTCACAACATTCAAAGAATCAGGGTAATGTCTATACAGGGACTGCGCTTAAAATTTCCTGACTAACCAGTTGCTCACGACACTCTATCTCTGAGGCTCACATTTTATTAGAATTGTTCATATTGCTCTGAGGATAATTTAGTTTGAAAGAAGGACAATTTTTTTCCCTAAGGGTAACTGATGCTATTAATTTCAAATGCTAGTAATTAATAGTAGTATAGAATTGAAAGCAATTTTTTTCTTGAAGACACTTGAGTGTATGACCTGTTAAGGTCACCACAGCTTCTAAATATATTGTTTTGAGAGTTCAGAACACAAACACAATGACCAAGATATAGATAAACTCCCCAAATTTATTTTATCCCCTTAAACACGCAGTTTAATACAACATAAGGTGTTTAGCCATGTGTAAATTTAGTAAACATCGATATATATATATATATATATATATATATATATATATATATATATAACAGAGAGCAGCGGGAAGGGAGCACTGGAAAATTATTATCTAAGTTTTAAGAGGATGTGATTCAAATGTTTGGCTTCAATCCCACCGCCACCCTTTGAGTTACATCACTTGAACTGATTTTTCTAACCATGGGCTATCAGAGTTCATTTTGTTGCTGAGTGACTTCATAAATCATATTCACGATCTGGTCCCTCTGTTCTTCCCAAGAATGTGGCTTTGATGAATAAACACCAGTTATAATGTGTTTGTTTCTATCACATGTACATCCAAAGTTATAAAATCCCACTCTTGCACAAGTTCTGATTTTACCACGTATACTGTGTTGGCTCCCATCATGCTGGTTCTGCCATCCTCTGTGCTAGACTGAGAAGAGAGAGATGTGTCCTCAATATGGTGATTCTGTCATTTTTCTTCCCTGTGAAACAAAATTTAACATGTTTTTGCTTGGTGGGGTCAACTGAGAAGGGCTGAGAGTCTTTCCTAAGGGCACATGGGAAGCTGTGCCAGGCTGCCCCGCAGTTTCATCTTATAATTAAAGGGCCATAAAGAGAAGGCTTGGAATGGACAGATTTTATTCACAGGTACGACTGGTGCACAGGTAGACATCCAATCACTCAAGAACTGGATGGGTGGCAATACTTACCCCCTTCAAACGATGGAAAGTCACATCATCTGCAACACAGCTGAGTCTACTTCAGTCAGAGGGAATGAGAGGGAGACATTTGGCCGCTTAGATCCATGTTCCTTTTCCGTCTGGAGCTTTTGGAACTGTCTCCTACTGGTTCAGCAGAGCCAAGTGTGCACCTCTCTTCCCAATACCATGTGCAGTGACATCATATTAGCAGCCTAAAAGTAGTGCTGTGGGTGTAATTTGCACTACAGAAATTAGCAAACACTGAAAATTAGTAACTTGAGAACTTTATAGCTTCCGGTGAGACAACTAAGCAGAAATAATTTCTGCACTGTTGATCAAATAGCGTTCTGAGGATGGTCGACTAAAATTTTCAAAAAATTGCAACTGGATTAAATTAACAATTTATTAAAAATTATCTAACATATCAATGATCCAATCCTATACACATATCTGTGTGTGGAGCCTTTTGTAAAACAGTCTTTCAATTTTTTAAAAAAATAATCAGCATATAGCTGAGCTATCGGTGACTCTATGGTACTCATATTAAATAATGTGGCACTTTTATTCATAGGACAGAGATTGGACATAATTAAGGTAATACTGTACTTTTCAGAATGTAAAGTAGAAGAAAAGATGAAGCAGGGAACTTAGTATTGGTCATAGTAAGTTTGTCTTCTCTATGAAAATCCACCTGATGCAAGAATTTTTAAAGAAGTAGTTCTTAAACTCTCTTAATAGAAGAATAAAAGTAAAAAACAAAACCAGAAAATAAAGCAAAAAAAAATCAAAAACCAATACTGCCAAATTGGAATTGCACTGTAGTTAGTCATTACCCATTCTTCAAAATTTAATTGTTATTCTTTACTATATTATATTATAATTACTATGCAATTATCATTCTTCAAAGTTTAACTATTCAGTTGACAAAGCACTATATTGTCTAAAATACATTTGTCCCTCAAATTTCAAGTTATTTTATGTCAGGGACAAGAGAAGATATTCTGCCATTTATGAGAACATAGCTATTTGCTTGCCATAAAAGTGGAAACCTTAACAAAAACATGCTCTCCCAATTTGGAATTGATGTTTTTTTTTTTTTTTCTCAATGAGGATACAAAGTTGGGCAGATGGAGAAGGGGTGTTCTGGGAGGAGTTGGAGGAAGGGATGCATATGATAAAAGTGATATTACATAAAATTCTCAAAGAATTAATCAAAAAGGAAAAAGAATGAGAAGTCTTTTGCTAATAAATCTATACCATCCATAAAAAATATTGTTGGCTTAGATTATACAGGAATTCAGGGAATAGATAAAATGATTGTCTAACAGTCCAGGGGAGAACAACACTCATTTTATTCTCAGGTACCAGATCCTAATACTCTCTATCAATCATTCATCAATGTAGATCATTTATCTTGCTGTGTGTTTCCATTGAAGTGTAATGCTTTCATTGTAGTTTATTAATAAAGATGCTCCTTAGAGTAGTGGTTCTCAATCTTCCACATCCTGTGATCCTTTAATATGTTGTGGTGACCCCCAACCGTAAGATTATTTTTGGTGCTCTTCATAATTGTAATTTGGCAATGATTATGAATTATAATGTAAATATTTTGGAGATAGAGGAGATAGAAGTTTGCCAAGACAGTCTTGACCCACAGGTTGAGAACCTTTGCCTTAGCATATGCAAGAAGCTACTAAGCAGGAGATGGGCATTAACCAGTGTCATGCTGGGGTTCAAGCACTCCCCTCTGCCTGAGGGTTCTTTTCCATCTGTGGCTCTACCACCATGTCCCTAAAATGCTCCTTGCTGCCCCCATTTTCAGAGTTAGTATCCACAGGTATTTTTGTTATTGTTTGTTCTAGTGAATTTATTGGTCTAGTCCTTATTCTGTGCTGGGTAGTGGGACAATGCATGCAAGGATCTCATTTAGTTGGGAAGTCCTGTTTGTGTTCTGTGAAAGAAATCACTGGATAGAAAATGGCATTCTCATAACCGACTTTCTCAATTTTGAGGCTGGGCCCATGGGACCAATGTTATTTTGTATTGTCTGAGAGATAGCTGTTCTTTGTTGCTGACTATTGTACTAGAGGAGCAGTGGGCTTGGAAAGATATTTGGACATTACAAGTGCCTTATTTTCCTCACAAGAAACGTCATTTCAATGTTTAAGAGAGAAAATGAGTGATGACCTTTTTGGTCTCAGAAACTGTGACTGTCCTCAGGGCGTCTGAGAAAGTGAAAAGATTCTAGTGCCAGCCTAGGGAAGGAGGCCCTCAGAGTACCTGAGCATGAAGGATAGTCACAGAGAAGGGTAACCATCATTTGTATTGGAAGTCTACCTCCTGGCTTCTACCTTGGTTATTTTAAAATACCAGAAAGAGCTAAATTGAATGGGATTGTCTTGTTTTTCTTTTTTGTTTGTTTGTTTTGGTGGACAGACACTCATAGTATCTGATGTGGGAGTATGAACAGGCAGCCAGTGTGGGGAACTGAAAACCTACGTTCTTGCTATTTACACGGACTTTCCTCTCCTTTTCTCACTCCCTTTGTATCTGGTCTTTCTCCCTACAACTCTTCCTTCTTTCCCAGGTGTATTTGATAACTGCTCCCATACAGCCAATGACAAGGGCTGGGCCCTGGGGATCCGCTCAGGGAAGGACAAGGGGAGGAGAGATGCTCGCTTCTTCTTTTCTCTCCGCACTGACCGGGTGAAGAAAGCAACAATTGTGACTGGCCACAGCCGCTACCAGCCAGGCACGTGGACTCACGTGGCAGCCACTTACGATGGACAGCATATAGCTCTGTATGTGGATGGCACTCGAGTGGCTAGCAGTCCTGACCAGTCTGGTCCACTGAACAGCCCTTTCATGGCATCCTGCCGCTCTCTTCTCCTGGGAGGGGACAGCTCGGAAGATGGGCATTATTTCCGTGGATATCTGGGTACACTGGTCATCTGGTCGACTGCTCTCTCACAAGCCCACCTCCAGCACAGTCCCCAGCACCCAAGTGGAGCAGATGAGTTGACCACCTTGATCCTGACAGCCACTTTCGACCCTCTGAAGGAACAGTGGGCCCCCTTCAGAGATGAGTCTTATCCCCGGCTTGAGGTTCTCCAGGACTCTGAGTCACAACCTGAGATTCTGTCACCTTTGCAGCCCCCACTTTGTGGGCAAACAGCTTGCGACAATGTGGAACTGATCTTCCAGTACAATAAGCACGGGCCCCTTCGGGGAGAGAAAGTGATTCGCTACCAGGTGGTGAACATCTGTGACGATGAGGGGCTCCATCCCACTGTGAGTGATGACCAGATCCGCCGGCAGCACGTGGCACTGAATGAGGCCTTTAGCCGCTACAACATCAGCTGGCAGCTGAGTGTCCACCGGGTCCACAACTCCACCCTGCGCCACCGGGTCGTGCTCGTTAACTGTGAGCCCAGCAAGATTGGCAATGACCACTGTGACTCCGAGTGTGAGCATCCACTCACCGGCTACGACGGGGGCGATTGCCGCCTTCAGGGCCGCTGCTACTCCTGGAATCGTAGAGATGGACTCTGTCACGTGGAGTGCAACAACATGCTGAATGATTTTGATGACGGGGACTGCTGCGATCCTGAAGTGACTGATGTCCGCAAGACTTGCTTTGACCCGGACTCACCCAAGAGGTAGGGAACTGGGGTTTGGGGTGCTCTTCTTACATTGTGCGTTTCTGAAGCGGCACTACTCTTTGGCTTCCTGGAGACAAAGAGGTTTCACACAGCGCCCAGATAAAATGTTCTTCCCTCCTAGGCTCTATTGGGTTTTCAGGAAGCGCTAGGTGTGTGAGGTAGTTGAGGATTTGGAAGTGCCTAATGAGGTACAGCTCTCACAGAGCTCAAAGTCTGTGGAGTGGAGCCAAACACCCACAGAACTTGCCCAGGGTAGAGGAGGCACTGAGGAGCTGGAGAACTATCAGAGGAGCCCAAAGGATCCCCCAAAAGAAACCCAGGATTCCTCAGAGAGAAAGGGAAGTATTTCCCAGTCTCCTAGCTCTGTGAAAAAGCCACTATCTTGAGAGAGTGAGTTGGTGAGTTAGTCAATTCTTTTTTGTCAGTAAAATGATGTACTTGAAGTGAGCTTCTTTGGATTCACTCTTTGGATGCATCAGTTCCAGTCTAGGTAGGCCTGCTGGGCAAAGCAGCCCACGGTGGCAGGAGCAAACTGTTTGCTTTGTGTTTCAGGAAGCAAGAGAAGAGGAGGAAGAGGCCAGGGTCTTGCAGTCCCCACTAAGAGCTCATTCCTGGTGATTCAAGGACCTTCCACTAGACTTGAACTCCTACCTCCATTTCCTGTAGGACTACCTTGACCTTTGAAGGACTCGTTGGTCAGACTCTGTTTGTTGCTGTGACAGATACTTGAGGGAAGTGATTTAAAAGAGGAATCATACATTTCTTTTTTTTAACTTACAGTCTCAGAGGTTTCAGTTTATGTATCGAGACCTACGGTGAGACTCTCCACACAGCGGAGGAAAGCTGTTACTCCATGAAAGCCAGGAAGCAGAGAGAGGCTGAGAGGTGCTAGGAGGCAAGACAGGCACTTTAACAGTATGTGCTGGTGACTCACCCCCTCAGTAAACCCTGCCTTTGAAGTCTCTACGACCTCCCAATAAAGACAGTAAATGAGGAGTCTATTAGTCGATTAATCCATTCATGAGCTCAGGGCTCTCTTCTCAGGATCCATCACTTTCAAAAAGTCTATATATCAGTTAGCAACTAGTGCTTTACCATAGGAGACTTTGGGAGACAACATATCAGATCCAACCACACCAGGAACCCTCATCGAAGTCCCAGTTAACAGTCTTTTAAGGTGTCTGGACAACATTATCCAGAATGGTCCTTTAGCTTTATGCATTTTGGCTGCATTACTTTAGAACTTATTCCTCCACAGTCTCAGAGTTGCTATGGGAACATATCTCATTCCATTTATTCTCCACACCTATGATGCCCACATACAATATCTGCCTTGTATAACTGCAGGAGATGTTTATACTCTTAGGAGTACAAGCATTAAATCCAGTGCCTTGATCATGCTAAGTACCAGCCCCGTCACGAAGCAAACCTACCAGCCTTGAATATTTGAACATTCTTGATTGTTAAAAATATTTAAATCACAGTGTGTGTGCATGTGACACAACTGTCATTCACACACAGAGGACCTGGTTTGGGCCTATGCAGGTTCCCTTGCTGCCAGTCTGGAGTCAGCGTGCTGTCACTAGCTCAGGTCAGCTATTTCTGTGGGTATCCTCATCATGGTCTTGACTCCTTGCTCATCTTATCGTTCCTCCCTCTCTTCCACTGTACTCTGGGATCTCAGCCCAGTTGTAGCTGTGGATCTCTGCATCTGCTTCCATCAGTTGCTGGATGAAGTTTCTATGTGCGAAGGGGAAATAGACAGGATCTCCAGAGGAAATTGGGAGCATGGGGGTGGGTAAAGGGATAGCAGAAAGGGAGGTGGTGGGGAGACAGGAAGGGGGGAGGAGAACATGAAGGAATGGGTTGACTGAGATGGGGGAAGGACAGAGAGGGAAAGCCAGGAATGAGATATCTTGATTGAGGGAGCCATTATGGGGCTAGTGAGAAACCCGACACTAGGGTAATTCCCAGGAATCCACAAAGATGACCCTAGCTAAGACCCTAAGCAAGAGTGGAGAGGGTACCTGAATTGTCCTTCCCCTGTAATCAGATTGATGACTTATTCTTTCTTATAAATGGCCACCCTTAGTTTGACTTGTTTCTAGCTGTCTTTTCTTTACTTAAATTATCCGGTCTATCGTTTGCCTCTGGTCTTTACCTTTGTCTATACTTTTCTTTACTTCTTACTCTGTGGCTTGCTATTTACCTGGGTGGCTAACCCCTGATATCCTCTTCTCCTTTCTTCTTTTTCCTAGGTCTTCTCATCCCAGAGTTCTCCTCCTATTTTTTCTCTCTGCCTGCCGGCCCCACCTATTCTTTTTCCCACTTATCTATTGGCCACTTAGCTCTTTATTAGACCAATCAGGTGTTTTAGACAGGCAAAGTAACACAGTCTCACAGAGTTAAACAAATGCAACAAAAAAGAATTCAACCCATCTTCACATCATTAAACAAATATTCCACAGCATAAACAAATGTAACATATCTTAATATTCTACAATATATGTTACACTTGATCTTTACTCAAAGAGAAGAAATCATCTTCTATTTCTAATTTTAATATATTTGCTTTATTTAAGATTTTTGTTGTTTAAAGATTTGGTTTTGTTATTTTAAATGTTGTTCTCTCTGTGTGTCTATGTGTGAGTATGTGTGTATATGTGCAGCTATGTGTGGAGGATAGAGGTATTGGATCTCCTGGAGCTAGAGCTAGAAGCAGTTGTGAACCACCAATATGAATTCTAGAAAACAAACTTGGGTCCAGTGGAAACATAGTGTGTTCTGCTACCACTGCACTATTGCTTTTAGCCAGCCATTTTTGTTTGAAGGTGTAAGGTTTTGTTTCTGTTTACTTGTCTCTCTTCTTCACGCTGGTGATTTGTTTCAAAAGTCTAGTGCTTGTTCTCACAGTAGGGAACATAATTTAAAATCTCTATTTATGTTCAATTGTTCCTAAATTTCCCCCTTTGAAAGATGAAACCCAAAATACGTAGTGACAGATAAGAATTTTTCTCTTTCAATCTGCTCATACTTATTCTATGTGTGAAAGTTTCCTTTATCTTCTATCTTATGCTCTTTGTGCTGAATATTTGTTATTAAAACATTGAAATATTTTTTATTGTTGCGGAAAAAGCGGGGACAGTGTCCTTTATCAGGTTCTTATAGAATATCAGAAGCATTAAACTAGGCAGAGGGACAAATAAAGGAATCCCTAAAGAAGAGTGCTAGCAACTTACTGGACAACTTAAAATTCATATCTAAATTCTCTGGATTTAAATACAGGCTGAAGCATGAAAAACAACAAGGCCTATAAATAGTGCCTTTCTGTGCCATGGCTTGGATCACTTGAAAGAACTTTGGATTCATAAGGGACCCTGATCTCTGGGTTTCTATGAGGTTCTTGGGGTTGGTAAAATGAGTGGCCACTTCTGAATTAAATTAGCCATGTACAACACTCTTGATATTACAATTAAATCACAGAGCTCAATCTCACAGTCCCATTATTTTCTGACTCTTAAAGGATCCAACTTCAACAAAGGCTTTGCCAGACACTTATTGAAGGAGTGATTATGTCAGGCACAGAGTCCATCTATTTAGGAATTCATAGTTTAGAGGCAGTAGTGGGAGAATGGGCTCAGATCTATAGATAGACTGCAGAGCAACATTCATTGGTAATTGATGATTGATGCTTGATGATTGCTCTTGCTTTCCAAATCCTATTAAACTTTCCCACCACTCCCATTGAGAAGTCAGAAATGTAGGCCAAAGTAGTTCCTTTCTCAAAGACTCTGGGAGGAGGAGCGAGCCCATGGAATCCAGCATCAAACATCTGTAGCCCAGATGGGGCTATCAAAGGGAAAGCGTTAATAAGGATTGGGACTGGTCAGAGGAGATATGAGTTATAGATATAATACCCAGCCAGTGGATCAGAATTAGTGAGATAGAGAAACTTGGCTGTGGCTAAGGAAGGCTGCCTAAGCCAGATATCCACTTCTGCTTCCTAATTGTCTTTAGGGAGTTCTCAAGAGGTGCAGGAGAGAAGGGGGTTGAGTGCCCACATCAGTACAATCATAATTATCACTGACCATTTACTTAGGGAGCTAAGCCAAGAACATCCCTGTGCCTGAAAGTAAACCTAAGTTTCCCTGGCCTTTTGACTCTTTCAGTGCCCTTTGGTCACTGCTTTCATCATCTTCCTTTCTAACATCGTTCCTCGGCTTCTGTACTTGCTTTCTAGCTATCTGATTTGCTCCTTTTCACAGGAGTTGGATTAAGTATCCAGTCCATTGTGGAACTGTGTACTTGTTTCCCCTTTTGATTCCGTGTCTCAGATTCTTAGTACTGTTGTTGAGGAGAATAATCATTAAATATAAGCAAATGGCTGAGTCCTGTTGAAACAAGAACTTGGTCACTTAGTGTTAGCCCTTGCTAGGGAGCAGGCAGTGGGAAACCAGCCATTTGTATTCTGAAGGCTGTGCTAGGCAAACACCCCTTTTGCTCCCAGCTCTGTTCTCTGCTCCATCCCCTGAGTTTTGTTCAAGGGCAGAAGACTGTACATGGAACGCTAGTATGCGGACCGAGAGGTGTCACCACGGTCAGGGCAAAACACATGTGGTATGTGCTTTGTACCAGGGGAATGGCGCATCTTGGGTCGGGAGGGCTATTGCATATGATATCAAAGGGGATGGGTGGAGAAACTGCTGCCACACTAGCTTGTATGCCGGGGCTTCCCTGGGATTTGCTCACCCACACACTGTGGCTTTGGAGCCAAAGGAATGGTGGAGCTGGGCTCCTGCAGTGATGGGTCTGTTAAACATCAGCCAGCCTTCATTATACGTTTCTTTTGAAGTCAAGATTCAAAGTTCCCTGAATCAAAAAAAAAAATCAGGGGAAAATAAGTGTAAGGGGGTAGAAGAGGGCAGGGAGAGAAGAAACCAAGGGAAGGGCTTTAAAACTGAACAGAAAGAATAATCCCTCAATCTGACCACTCCACC